CGCCGGCCTCGGCCCCTTTGTTCTCGCGCGCTCCCCCTCGCCGCCCACTCCCCTGCTGTCGCGCGGCGGCGGCGGCGGCGGCGGCTCCTCCCGCCCGAGGCAGTCGGGCTGGGCGCCGGGGGCGGGAGGGGGCGGGGGGAGCGCGCCAGCCGCCGGGAGTGGGGGGCGATGGCGAAGCTCCGGGTGGCTTACGAGTACACGGAAGCCGAGGACAAGAGCATCCGGCTCGGCTTGTTTCTCATCATCTCTGGCGTCGTGTCGCTCTTTATCTTCGGCTTCTGCTGGCTGAGTCCCGCGCTGCAGGATCTGCAAGCCACGGCGGCCAACTGCACGGTGCTGTCGGTGCAGCAGATCGGCGAGGTCTTTGAGTGCACCTTCACCTGTGGCGCCGACTGCAGGGGCACCTCGCAGTACCCCTGCGTCCAGGTCTACGTGAACAACTCCGAGTCCAACTCCAGGGCGCTGCTGCACAGCGACGAGCACCAGCTCCTGACCAACCCCAAGGTAAGGACGGCCCGCGAGGGATGCCTGGCTCCTGCGGAGGTCTTGAAGCTTGGGGGAGCCTCGGTGTCAGACGCCGCGCGGGGCGGACTCGGAGTGTCTTTTTGCTCGCGTCCCTAGGAGGCGACGGGGCGTTGGACCCGCAGTGAGCACAGCCGGGAGTCCCGGGGCCCGGGGTTCGTGCGCGGCGACCGGTAATGCCCTGAGGCTTTCTTTACACATCTCTCTTGTCTCGTCTCAGATTTTGAGACCTTGGCCCAGCTCAGTCCGGCGCCTACGGGTCGGACTTTGGAGACGTGCAAGGAGCGGAAAGTTACTTTTCCTCCTGTTAAAGCCAGTGGGTAGCAGGGATCCACCTACTCGGGCGCTCGGTCAAGGTCTGAGCTCCCACGGGCCGCGTCAAGCACTGGCTTTGGGAGCTCGAGATCTTTGGGCCCCTTGGAAGATGTTAGAGGGTTCCTTGCCCTTTAACTCTAAACAGACGTTTTTAAGTTGGGCTGCAATGTTGAGGGTCAACAGACGACGTGGAAACCACATGCGAAATTCCGAACAAGTCTGTTTCCGGGGTTTACAGAGAGCTCCTGGTTTTCACGAAACAGATTCTCAGAAGGGTCGGGAGGAAGCCTGGTGACTCTGTGTGTCTAGGGACGATCGGGAGCCATCTGGAGAACGGTAAAACTTACTGAAAATAGAAAACCCTTCGTGATATGTACCGAATATTTCTTCCCTGGCAACTTTCTCTCAAGCAATACAGAAAAAACCTGGTTAGGACTCGAGGGATGGATAGCCGAGAGAGGGAGACTCAGAAAACAGTTCCCAGTGGAGAGAAAAAACTTATAAAAAGCAGTGTCCTCAGTCTGTGAACTAATTGAGCTTTGTAGTGCGCCTGGTTCTGCAAGAAGGATTTTCTTTCTTATCTTCTCTTGGTCTGTTTTTACCATGCTTGTCGCTTAACTATCGAGTGAAAGTGTGTTTCTTCTTTAACGTTACTGTCATTTTCTCTCTTGGTGAGGGCTCTGCTCGAAAATCCAGCAGAAAAACAAAAGGGAATGAGTCTTGTGTACACAGGAAAACTTTCTGTTAAATGTGACAAGATATATTAATCCGAAAGGGAAAAACAATTATATTAGCATTTTAAGAGTACTTAAAGCAAACGTACCATTTCTCTGCAGTAAAACTCAGGGTCTTGTTTCCTTAAACAAACAGTAAATTCTTGAATTGGGGAAATTTAAAAAAAAAAAGGAATTCCTTTACAAAATGACTTCTCTTTTATTTTTTTTTAATTTTTTTTTTCAACGTTTATTTATTTTTGGGACAGAGAGAGACAGAGCATGAACGGGGGAGGGGCAGAGAGAGAGGGAGACACAGAATCAGAAACAGGCTCCAGGCTCCGAGCCATCAGCCCAGAGCCTGACGCGGGGCTCGAACTCACAGACCGCGAGATCGTGACCTGGCTGAAGTCGGACGCTGAACCGACTGCGCCACCCAGGCGCCCCAGAAATGACTTCTCTTTTAAAAAGATGCTCCTGCTGACAAACGTGTATTCATTTACCTTAAAAATGAAGATAATATATAAGAAGTGAATATAAATAAATATAAAAGTACAGATTTAGATAAGGTATAATCAGTGTCCTGAAGAAGCACACTCTGGAAAACAAATATAAGTTAATCTGCTTAAAGCCCAGTAACTTCAAAAGAAACCTTAGGGTTTTAGAAACATCACTTTTTTTTTTCTTCAGGATTAAACCATTAATATAAAAGAAGGTGCCAAGCAGTAATAGTGATTTAGAAATTATATGGTAGTTCACCATTTAGGAGGCATTGCTATAATTGGTGAAACACTGCTAATTAGTTTAAGATAGTGGTTCAGGCACTAATAATAAATTATATACACATATACCAATAAATGGCTAATATCTGATCAAGACATTGAGAAGTTAGAATTTACTGCAAAAAAGCCTGCTTATAATTTCCAGGCAATTTTGAAGGATCTGGCAGAAAAAGTAAATTGGGATCATTAGGACATAGATTTTAAAATCAGTTGGAAGCAGTCATAATGCTTTATGTAATACTACAATTTTATCTCTCTCTCTCTTTGTTGCAAATAATCTATTTTCTTCCAGTGCCAGTTCAGATTCCAGCAACAATTGTTTTGAAGAAGTGTCTGAACAAAATGACGTTTTATAAAGTATTCAAGAAATGACAGAACTGGAGAAAGATATTTATGTCACACACACACACACACACACACACACACACACACACACACAAATGATGAACAACAGCCCAGTGAATTTAGTCAAGGCTTCCTTAGCCAGACCAGTACACATCTTTATCCAAATTATGATTACATTGTGGCATTTATAGAACATAAGTTTGTTCTTTTGCAGTCACCTTTCTACTTTTGGACAATTAAAGTACAATTCTTGTAAGTGATTCGTGATGGAAAAATTCAACATAACTGATATTGTGCCAGAACCCAGTACCTAAGCAGAATGTGTCCACAGTGCCCTTAGAAGTAGGCAGGCCCCTTTGCTCATTCCTGACGCCTCTTGGGTGCCTAGGTCTTTTCTTTGCCTTGCATCACCTGATTATCGAAGGCCTGGGTTCCACACCCATTCCCTCTGTAGAATGTCTGGATTCCCTTCAGTGCCAAGGATCCTAATCACCTTCAACCTTCTCTTCTTCAGGACCCACTCCCCACAAGAAACCATTTTTAGGAAATCACTTCTTAGAAAGAAAAAGAACAAGGGCTTTCCCTCACCCCTCCCTTGAGTTTGCTGCATTAATTATAGTAAAAGGCAGGGAAAGGGAAAGAATATTGCACATGTATAACTTCTTTAGCCATAGACTACCAAAGAAGATAGTATGAACACATGTGACCTTTGACTAGTCCTGTCTAAGATATCTTTAAGTGTTCTTCAGCTTATTTATGGTTTGAATCATATCCATATTGTCAAGGGTAATCACTCTATCCAGTCATACAATATAGTATTCAAGTCTACTAGTTACACATAGGGCAATGACCTGCTCTGTGATTTAACCATAGTCAAATCTAAATGTGGGATATGCTCCCTCTGGGTGCTATTCCCATCACTGCATTGTTTCTGAGGGGCTAGCAGTTGTGTGTGCTAGGAGCTTTGGTTCTTAACCTTGGCTGCACATTAGACACTGGGGGAGGGGCTCCAGGGCAGCTCAGTCCCTTAAGCATTGGACTCTTGATTTAAGCTCAGGTCATGATCTCACAGTCTTGAGATCAAGCCCCGCATTGGGTTCTGCGCTGGGCATGTAACCTGCTTAAGATTCTCTCTCTCCCTCTGCCCCAGCCCTGCTCGTGGGCGCTCTCTCTCTCTCTCTCTCTCTCTCTCTCTCTCTCTCTCTCTCTCTTTCTCAAAAAAAAAAAATCATTGGGGAAACTTTACAAAGAAATTCTTATGCTTGGGTCTCACCCTTAGAGATTTGGACTTGGTCTTGGGAGAGTCCTGAGAGTTGGTGTTTTTTAAAAAGTTCTGCAAGTGACTCTAATGTGTAGACAGAGTCAAAAATTACTGATTAGAAAACATACTCATCTGTTGTGCAAGAAAAGTAAAATAAGAACTGAAAGGATCCATTGTGATTAATACTTGTGTTTTTAGGTTAAAAGATGTTACTGATCCTACTGAATATAGGGAACTGGCATAAAAGGACGGACCCAAGGAAATTCTGAAGGAAAAGAAGAGGATCATTTAACATTAGTGTCGAAATGGTCATTTAAAATTGGTTTAGCTTAAATGAACTTAATGCAGTTCCAGACATTTGCTATCACATCAATATATACATCGGGTGGCAGAGAAAAGATGAATTTTTAAAACTATCTCTTGTTTGTGCAATAAGAGAGCGTGAGTGATTAGAAGCTATGTGTTTTATTTTTGTTTTGAGGTTTTTTGTTGTTGTTGTTGTTGTTCTCTGGTCTGAAAAACCTAGACACAAAGGGAAAAAGTCTATTCCAAAGGGAAAAGTACTGTGAAAGTGAGAGAAATTCACTGAAGAGAAGAAAAACTTTAGACTTTTGAGTGTATCCTCTGAAACTGAATGTCCCTAACTGTGTTCCTCGCAGCTTACGGTTCCCTTGTTATCCTTCACAACCACACTGGTATGTCCCAAAGCCCGTCCCCTGCCCCCCAGTCACACATCCTGTGCAGACAGTGTGGTCTCCTGGGGTTGATTTCTGAACTGCATCCTAGAAATAAATGTTCAGTATGATACACTTTGTGCTCTAGGGAGGTCCATCACATCAAAACTAAGTAATCAAAGGCTAAACTGGATTGTGACGATTTCTCTACAATCTTTATTTCTCTATGATAAGGATGGCTTGCTGTGGTTTTTTCCTCTGGTGATTATATTAAATAACTTGGCAAGTACGTAAAATCCAATTCCTCCAATACTTGCTTAGCCTCTGTGATCAACGGATGGAGCAAGAAACAGGAGTATGTCTTAGCATCTTTTGATCAAAGGACTGGGCAGGAAATAAGGACATACAGGGGCGCCTGAGTGGCTCAGTTGGTTAAGCGTCCAACTCTTGATTTCACCTCACGTTGTAATCTTATGATTCGAGAGTTTGAGCCCCATATCAGGCTCTGTGCTTGGGATTCTCTTTGTCCTCTCTTACTGCCCTGCTCCAATGCTTGCACACACACACTCACCTCTCTCTCTCAAAAATAAATAAATAAACTAAAAAAAAAAAAAAAAAAAAAGAAACAAGGACATACAAAGATAAGTTTATTCATTTAACAAATATTTGTTAAATGCCTCCTCTGTGCAATGCGTGCTTCCAGGTTCTGAGACTAGAATAGAGATCAAAATAAAGTCTGAAGTTTATGTTTTGGTAGATGCTGACAGACAAGAAATAGACTTATAATGTAATGTCATGTAATGGTAAAGGTGTAAAGAAAATTCAGGCAGCATAAGGATACAGACTGGTGGAAGAAATGAAGGGCTGCCCTTTTGCACACAGTGGTTAAGTG